TGCAGAGGGGGCGGACGCCCCCCCCCCCCCCACCCAAATTTCAAAAGTCCACTTTTTAAAACCTAATATTTCACAAAATCGTTCCTAATTATCACAAAATGCTATAGCATGCCTTGCATTATATATTTGCCAGCACATCCAGCCGTTGATTTTAAATATGATATGAAATTTGTTTTAAAAATTTATCGTCTCCGGTGACTGCAGATTGATCTATAATATGAACAATGTTATCTGTATTCTGGGTTGATTTGCAAGGTACTACATGGCTCAACTATTTTAAACTTTAAATGGTTAATTGGTAAAAATCGCACACAAATCATACGACGTCACTGACAACGCCGGGGACGGCAACTCGATTTTGAGATTAATTTTCCGAATAAAGTTATACTAAATAACTTCTAATGACGAACTATTGTCTTCAGTTGTCTTTGTCATTCAACTGTCATTTTATTTATTTTTTCGGTGATATTACCTTTCTCAATAATCTATAAAACCCCCACGTAACAACGTCACGTTAGATCGATCGGTGGGGACGCCGTGGTGACGCCGGAGGGGTCAATTTTCGTCGGAAGGTATCAATAAACAGTTTCATGGGAATAAAATCTTGCTTATGCTAACCACCTGCTTACCTAAGATTATACTGACACTGGTTTCAAATGAAATAACTGACAACTTTGGTTTGTATCAATGTTTTAATAAGTACATAAAACTCTGTCACAAATACGTATGCAAAAATGCACAGGGACACCATGCTATTTTTGTATTTTTCTTGAAATCTGTCTGTATGCCTGATCACTATCATCATACAAAGTATAATAGATTCAAGTAAGATGTTTCTAATGATATACAAATGTATGCAAACATGCCTTTGGCACAGTTTTTTTCCGAGTTTTATTTACCTTAACGTCGACTCCGTCTAAGAAAGCACCAGGATTAATCACACAACAGTATCCTTTTATAAACTTCTAATTCCAAAAATAATCAGTAAATCCTGTGCAATAAATAAAAATAGGCCTACATACATAATAAACTGATTAACAATTAAACACATTTTGCATAAATGAGGTCCCATGAAAAATTGTATTTTTTATGATTATTTAAGAAAGAATAATGCCGGGCACTCACTGAGTCGTACGACAAATCCAACTCCGCTCCCTGTGAACGATAGATGACGCAACGCCGTCTGCTGATTGGTCGGTAGCAATCTGAACGGATCGTTCTTAAAAACGATACGTTGCGCGCGTCGTGTTTCGTTCTTCATAGCATCACATCAGCCGACGAACGTTGTGCGCAGTAAGTGCCCAGCTTATAGGCCCACACATTCTATGTGCAGTGTAGCATGCACACAGAGACACAAGTTGGCATGGAAACGAAACATACATCAAAAAAATAATTAGCCTACCATTACTAGTCAAATTAAAAACTTGGGCCTTTTTCACACCATTGCCGTTTTGGTTCATTGCCGTTCTGGTCTGAACAAGGTAATTTAACAAAAGGACGCACATCTCGGGACATCAAAGGTTATAACTCTGGCATCGACATTCTAGGCGCACGTGCGTCCCTACACGCTGAACGTCACAAAAACCATAGCAACCAGACCAT